AACGGGTTCACAAAGGGATGTTAAAAAGATAATGTAAAATCTTCGAGTTTCATACTAATTTTATATATCAATTGCATACTAATTTGTTCACTAATTTGAACAGGAACCATCTCAAATGGAATCACGATCAAAGCTCATCTCGAAAAAAAGGAGGCCAAGTGAAAGGATAACTTTGAACAATCTACGGAAAAATACAGTTGAGAAAGATGGAGAAGGTAGTAGTTATGGCAAGGCGGTTCCACTTGATTAAATAACATTGTTAGACGAATATGAATACGTTAGTTTTTTTGTTGAAAAGATGTCCACTTGCTTAGGTTTTGGTATTACAAAGTAAGCCATGGAATTTATGATGAACTCGATGAATGAATGATTTTTTTGGATATTTTTATAAGTGAAATAGTGTTCTTTTCTAAACATGTTTAATTTATGATATTATATTTTTTGTGCATTTTTTCTTTAAATTTACAATGTTTAAATGATAAAAATATTAAAATTAGAAGTATAATRTTGTAATAGAAATTGGTGATCTTATAATAAAGTAATTTTGAAAGTACAATGCTATAATAAAAAATGCTATGTCAGTACTATAGTACATGTGGACAGCCTACGTGGACGATGAGGTGGCAAAGAAACCTGATATAATGGGTAAATTTAATTTAAAAGGTTACTCAATACTATAACGGGTAAATTTTTGAAAGTATAATGTCTTAATAAAAAATATTTTGAAAGTACATTGCTGTAATAAAAAAAATAAAAATAAAATGTTATAATAATAAAAATTTATAAAAATAAGTTGCTATTTTATACATTTTGCCTTTTGAGGAATAAAAAATAAAATGCACACGGTATAATTTGGGCTGAAAAACTTATGTTCACCAAAAAGGCAATTAAAAAAAGCCAATGGCCCGAAAAAACGAACGTTCTGGACACTTTGGATCGATTTCTAGGGTTCTCAAACACTGCCATTTTCAAATTGGAACCCCAGATTAAGGTTTTCAGAGAATTCGGGAATTCATTCATCTGATAGGAGCAATCGACGATGGGGAAGATTCCCGTGAAGGTAAAGGCTGTGACCTACGCCCTATCTCCGTTCCAACAGAAGGTGATGCCTGGTCTCTGGAAGGACTTCACCCATAAGATTACTCACAAAGTCACCGAGAACTGGATTGGCGCCGTCCTCCTCGTCGGCCCGGTTGCCGGCGTCTACACGTAAGACATAACTCTACTTTATAAATAGATCAATTTGATTACGTCTAATTGGTTTTAAGTATGTTTTGATCATTTCAATTACTTGATTATTTACAGATCCATTTCTATGCGTAGTTATGATCATCAGTTGCTTATGATACATGTTTTTACTTATTGTCGTCTCTGGAAAGTTTTTATACAATTACGATGAGTTGAGTAGGTCAATGTCGATATGGATCCGTATAATTTGTTTGTGGTGTTTTCTCTTATTGTACTTTCTGCTCTGGAGTTGACTAGAAATTGAATCAACCATGTCCGCAAATCCCTACTAAGTTTTAGCCCTAAATTCAGCTTAAAACCTGGAATATTACACTTGGTTTGCTTACATAGAGCAATCTTCTCGGAAAAATATATTGATCCATGTCGACTATGTCAAAAACATATTTATATAAATGGTTATCATAAAATAATTAATTAAATACTAATACAGCGCCAAAATTTGGCAAACATTTACAAAATAGTAGGAAAAATGTGACCCAGTTTTTTCAAAATTTAAGAACAACAAATATAATAAAGTCAGTTCTTTTTGCAATGAGTGAAGCTTTGAAACACTTTTTGGGTTGTGGGGTTGAATGGTCGAAATGGTTATGGGACTGGGTTATGAGATTGATGCTTTCATGCTGACTACTTTTTTTACTGGGTTGAGGTTCAACCAGCTGGCTAGGGTTATCTTTTTGAAGGGAAAATTGGCTAAAATAGCCATTTCTCTCGGTTAAGTTGCTCTCCTAACCATTCATCTATGTGAGTTACCCAAATAACACTACGTCTACAAGCCCCATGTCTGCCACCTGCGGACCCAGCTAAAGGACAAATTTTTTATCAGATTTGACCTAGGTCTGCAATTGCCACGACTAGGTCTACAATTTGAATTTTCTTTTTGTCTTCTAGCTAGGTCTGCAAGTGGGGGAGGTGTCATTTGCGGATGTAGTGATATTTGGGTAAATCAAGGAGAGGAATGGCTAGGAGACCGATTTGTGCAAGAGGAATGGCTGTTTTGGCCAATTTCCCGTTTTGAACATTGCATGAGAGTCTCCTGCAGTTAAATTAAGATCTTACATTTTGTATTTTCTTGTAGCAAATTTGCCTGCCTGGCTTCTGTGTTAAGGTGGGAAATTGTGATATTATGACGAAAATCAACAGATGAATTTTTTATAGAGTTCCTGTTTTTCTTGTTGGCCGACTTTGATTTTGTAGTTGACTTAGCCGTGATTCAACGCCCAGTAATTATTTTTGGAATTTGGGTTGAGTTTTGGTAGAGCAATGGCTTGTGCAATGTTGATAATTGTGATATGTTGTTTGAGGATTAGTTATCTCGGTACTGTCTAGGAAATTATCTAAAGATTTTACATCGGTATAAGAAGTGGATAGGGATTCATGATAGCTTAAAAATGGAGAAAGGAGGAAGACGAATGGAGTAATTTGAACATAGGAATATTAACTTGCAGTGCAGCATGCATTATTTGTGTCAATTATTCACATGTTATTTATCTTCTTGTTTCCAAGCCAATTAAAACTAGTTTCTACTGGCCATGTATAGAAGCTAAACATTCGTTTCTGCATATCTTGATTTTATCAGCCTTCTTTATCACTTAAATTATATGGTGAACTTTGTAAATAGCTGTTATATGTGCCTTTGGGGGCATCTCTTTGCGTCTCTTCTCATAAATGTTCCCCTTTGGTTGAGACACGTAGCTCTCGATGTTCCATTGGTGTTTGCATTTGCTGTTGTATTTGATTTTATTGCTTTTAGCTTGGCCTGCTTCATGTAGATTTGTCAGGTCAACTGAGGGAATATATCCCAACTGTGTCAAAGGTCTTTAAGAGGCTTAGCGTTGAAGCTTTTCAGTGAACATCTCCACATATTCTTTCTTTTTCCTCTCTTTAAATGTTGACCTGAAAACAAGTTCACAAAACCACGAAGGTGACAATCAAACTCTTTGTATCTTTTGGGAAAAGGGTAATTTATGAGGGAAACTAAGGTATATTTAGTTGCATGTGTTGAGGTAAAGAAGTTGAATTGATGGTTTGATATTTGTTTATGTATAAGCTGATGTTGATGCTTAAGGATTGTGGCAACTGTTGCAGGTATGTCCAGAATTACCAGGAAAAGGAAAAGTTGCACCACAGGTACTAAAGTCACAGGTTGAGTGAGGAAGAATAATGGGTGTTGTAGTGAAAGTGAAGATGAATTTGTATCTCTTGCTTTCTAGAGTTCTTTGTGGTGATGGATGCATATATATAATGGTGGTGTTAGTTTGCAGATATTAAAACTGTTTTTCCCTCTTAATTTCCTTCTGACTGTGATATATTTTGTTCATTAATTACTCTGTCATACCCAATGGCTGACCAGATACTGCTAGTTGAAACCAGAGAGGGTTTTGGCATACTTAAAAAATAAAGAAAGTTGTGCCATCTCATCAGCAATAAATCTCGGATCTTGTTTATTTATTTTGATTAACCAACCCGCAATGCGAGCCGACTAATCTCAGGACGACCATCTGCTTTGCAGATAGCTTGAAGTTACAGCATTTGAACCTCCGTGGCTACAAGGGGATTTTTATCTTCCTTGAATTTAAACCCGAGTCATCCAGATACTTTTGACCTTTTGAGCCAAACTTAAACCAGTTAGGCACCATCCTTGTTGGATTTTGTTTCATTAGTTCCGGTAACTATGGTAGTGTATGTTCAAACGAAAAACTGGAAACATTTTTCTCACCAAAAAATGGGTTTAGACTGATTAACCATTTTCTTGCATGTAATGTCTTATCATTATTGTATGTAATTCCATCTTATTTGGTAAACTATATATATCCCAATTTGGCAACCAAGTTTTGAAATATCTCCCAATAGACAAAACAAGTGCCGTCCATCTATGAAAAAAAATACTCAACCGTGTAGTACTATAGTTAACGTCTGAAAAATCTTTTCAATCTTTACAGACATATTAATCCAATCATATAGTTTTATTCATACAAAACTAAACTTAAACTTAATAAAAAATCAATCATATATTTTTAAAGTAAGAGCATCTTGTCAACAAGCTCCTTTTCACTGAAAAGGTTGTGACCGATGAAAATCGCAACATGGTTTTGTTGATTCTCTCCCGTTGAGAATGAGAATCCCGATTTTACAACGGTTTTGAAAGTCTTGTTAACCATTTTTGTAAAGTTGGAAACATTGATATCTCAAAAGTAGTTACATCTTCACTCCATGATAATTCAGCTCTCAACAAAACCTTCATTGTCCAATTCGCTTTGGTCATTGTAATTTTCTATCAAAAGTGCAAAAAACATAAGATTATCATGATGTCAAATATAAGCTTGGAACAACTTATGCTTTACTACAGAAAAGAAGTATTTATCAATTTATCATGAGTTAGAATGATTTAACTTTTCAAAAACTTTTTATTACCAGTTCGACACCGTAATAAGCTGTTTATCAGAACACTCAAAATTGTTTATCACGCCACAGCAAAATAAGTCAATAAGTTGTTTTTATAAGCAATATTAAACAATATTGAGCAACAAATGTTGGGTTAGGTGCTAAGATTGCTATGACCAAGGAGCCCTTGGAAACGAAGAAGAAGAAAACAGCAAGATCTGAAAATGCAAAATTAAAAAATGTAGGAGGATATTAGTGCACATCGTCGTACAATAAGAACAACGCATGCAAGCATATACCACTCCATCTCTTTATTGGCAAAGGAAACAAACTCCTGATATCGCATCACAAGTTATCAATCTTTCCCATTTGCCAAATACCAATTACCAATTACCAATTACCAATTACTAATCATCTTCACAAATTCGTCATAAAACCTGCAAATTCACCTTTTTCAAATCAAATTCACCAACCGTACAACATACCATTCTAAAGACGACCAACCTTCTTTATGAAATATCGCAAGCTGATTCAACATTCTATGCCCAAGTTGTTTGTCAAAATCTGTTTTCATAAAAACATTGCAAATCGAAAACAGAAAACAAGATTTTATACCATCGGAACCAAAATTTCGATCAAAAACACCAATAACAATCGCCGATTCAACACAACAACATCAAAATGCAACGAACAGATATATAAATCCATCGTGTAAACCCTAATTATGATGTTTTCAATTGGGCTTCATTGTAAACGTGGCCTTATTGTGAGTTAGTTGGGCTTGACATGGAGTTCATTGGGCCTGCCCATTTCTAGGTCCACCATTTGAGTTGGAACCTGCAGTTTTTAGGGGTATTTGGAATTGCTTATTTGAAACAACTTACTTTTTTTTACAAAAACACTTATCAATTTATTATAAGTCAGAAGAGTTTAACTTTGTCAAAAACTTCTTATTACCGGTTTGGCACCGATATAAGTTGTTTATCCAAACACTCAAAAATGCTTACTACCGGTGCTACACCGGAATACGTCAATAAGTTGTTTTTATAAGCAACCCCAAACACCCCCCTTAGATAGATATGAAAACAAAGGGAAAAAAAGAAAAAAGAAAGTAAAATGTATATTTACTTTACTGGATCAAAAAGTGAAGAAAGGAGTGAAAATGGGTCAATTGTGTCATTTTAATGAAGATGAAAGTTGAATAATGGAGTTCATGTTCAATCCGACTAAAAATAAAATAAAATGTTAGATCGAGGGTGACAAGTGTAACTTATTGGCTAACGTATCGACACCAAGGGGTCGAATGTCATTATCTGATAGTTCAGGGGGTTTCAAATGTCAACTACCTCATATTTGAAAGATCTGTCTCGTAAAAAGTATAGATCTGAAACTTGAAGGCAACTTCACGATGAGAAATGTATTTTGGCTCGCTATTGGCTTTATACGTCAACTAATACGCCAAATATTGCATATAATTGAAGAGCAACTCTAAAAGAACATTTTCATTCATAGTTTTAAAATTATCTATTGAACCTTAATAATCTTATGTCTCATGATTTAGATTAGAAGGTCCAATTTTGGCTTTTTTTCAGATTTTTGAGTTATGTAAAAACTAAAACTTTAAATGAGAAAATGAGGCTCATTATTTGATGGTTTTTGTTGATTTTTATTTTTATGGTCGAGGAAAATGATTTTCTCGAGTTTTTTGCAAAAATAATCGATGAAAACGGTCAAAAATGGGGTTAAACGGCCTTGAAACGGACAATCGTCGAGTTAGGTTTGTAGGTTGTCAGCCTGTGAAAAAATCGATCATGGCACATTTGGAAAGCTCCCCCCCCCCCCCCCCCAATTTTGTTTGTTGGGCTTAGCATTTGGGTCCATATTTTGTTTTGGATTGTTTATTTGGATAACTAAATTGGACCGATCAATTAATTTTTTTGGTTTAATAACTTAATTAAGGTGTTTGAGATTTGCTTATTTGAAACAAGTTATGTTTTTCTAAAAAAGTACTTATCAACTTATTATAAGTTAAAATGATTTAACTTCTTCAAAAACTTCTTATTACCAGTTTGACACAATATAAGTTGTTTATCCAAACACTCAAAAGTGTTTATTACCGGTATCACACCGGAATAAGTCAATAAGTTGTTTTTATAAGCAATACCAAATACCTCCTTAATTAATAAAGTTCTAAATTTGTTTTATTATATTAAGGTTACATTAGTTAATTACTTTAACTTCTAAATTTATTAATATGTTATATAATTAATATATTAATTTATTTTAAAAAATTAATATTAATTAATTCATTAATCTTTGCTCTTAGGAAGCTTATTACATTATTTAGTAATTCAATAAGTGCTTAAAAAGATTCCTAATTTGATATTAACTTTTGTTTAGGACACTTTAACGTATGATTTATGATTCCTTTGGTTATTAAAAGGATAAATTGATGTTAAATTGGTTATCAAGCGTAACACTTAAAATTTTGTTAAATTGTTTTGATACTCGTCGTATGTGGGTTGAATAATTATTGGAATGCTTTAATTGATGGATTTATAATATTATAAAATGATTTATTTGACGTTTTGATGCGTGATCAAGTTTTAGACTTGAGATTTGACTAAAGTTAGTCGAGGTTGACTGGTTGACCAATGGTTGACTTGAACTCGTTTGACCCATAAGGATTTTAACGATGAGATCAAACTGAGATATTTAAGACAATAAGAAACTCGGTTTTTGGAGTTTGACTTTAGGGCAGGTCGAGTTTGACTATAGTTGGCTATTGTTGACTTTTGGAGAAAATAAGCTATTAATTGGATAATACAGTATCAAATGCAGGTCTTTAGTCAAAAGCTATCAATAGTCGATCTAAACGGATAGATGAGTCTTCATGAGACTTACAATGGGACGTATACCCGCGTACAAATTTGTTTTGAGCATGATATGATTTATATGGTAATTTATACGTATGAATGATGTTTCACTTTATATATATGATACAAAAAATATTTCATGTATGGTATATATGATTAGTTGCATGTTATGTACTTGTTTTCTTTTCAAATAACTCTAGCATGATATTGGATACGAAAGTATTATGATTAGTTTTAATGGGTGGACATTTGAGCAATAAGTCATACGGCAAATGACGCGACTTTTAACACCCCAAAAACCTTGTGTAAATATAACTTCCAAAAACTTGAATATCTCTATAAATAAATGTGAAACTTAAACCCATAAAGGGAAGTATGGAAATCAAATACAAAAAATCAATAGGATTAAAGTTAACAACCTACTAATCTGATTCTGAACTAAACTTGATTATGACCAGTGTTATTAAATCCCCAAAATCCGCCTTTATCTCTAAAGACGAACCAAGAATAACGTTTCCCCCGATGCCTCTAGACAACACCAACGTCACGTTCTAAACAGTTTTAGATCTGCCACTACTAGGACTTGGTATAAATATCATTTAGAAAAGGGTTGAGCTTACGTCTAGTAAGTTTAAACAATTATATTTGAACCAATAAGCCAACATGTAGAAAGATATAGGTAAAATGATTTTATGCTGGAACCGTAACACGAAAGGATATAATCTCCCAAAAAGTGGTCAAACCTGATAGTTTTATACACATAACCTCTTTTGATAGCGGGGAGACCCGTTTTCATTAAATGGAGAGGGAACACAAAAGTATTGCTATGTGTCAATGTTTATGAGGATTACACCTCATATTCTATGACTTTAGTGCACACCCAATATGACATCATCTCAAGCCTTCAAATACCTTTAGGGGGGTGTTTTGTTCGCAGATTCTGAAGTAATCTGATGGAATTGGAATGTTGAATTCTATTGACCAAATTCCATTACCTCGTTTGGTTCATTCTTTTCACGAAAGGAATCTACAAATTCCACAAATAAAGAAATTTAACATTCTTTAGCTATTACATGGTAT